AAATAAAACATAAATTATTATGTTTTATTTTTATTATTTTATTACTTCCCTTCTACGTGACTTTACCGAAAGAACCAAAAAGATGTAACCGTAGTTGTTTGTTTTTTTGTTTGATTTGTAGTTTTCCATATTTTGTTGGCACGAGTATAGGACAAATGACGTTGGGTCAAAGAGTGGCTGGCAATGTTTGATAAGTCGGGCCTTGAACTCATGACCTGAGAGTAGAATATTGGAATATAAAAGTGACATTTCGAAAGCTCAAGCAACTTATGAACCACAGACAAGTCACTCTTAAATATGCTAGAGTTTACAGCTCTATATAAAGTAGCAACATTTTTCTTTTAAGAGAAATAAAAATTTCATTCCTGAGATTATAACTTTTGACTGAAAGGCCAACACTCAACCGATTAGTCGACCACAAGCAGCTTCATTTTAAAATGTAAATGGATTAAACATAAATATAAATGGTAATAGTTTACTTTGAATAGGGTTAGTGGAAAAATGACGTCACTAACCTTATTCATGCATTGTCCCATTGGATGCACGACATAATATACACAACTTTTGTAAACACACCAAAGGATTTTATGTGAGTGTTTACCTAAGAAAAGTAGAAATGCAAGAAATAGTACCAAAACAATGTTGCGGCCGAGTTTTGAACTCTCGACTCCTACGTTGCTAATAATATATTTATTTCACAAAAACCTGTTTGTAAAGCACTCGCCAAATAAGGCTTTCATACAAACAATCAATAGCTTTAAACGAGCCCAGTAATTGATTAATTGGTGGCGAATTTGATTCAGGCATGCATTGTGTCTGGATCTGACTGTTTGTGCAAAAATTGGGATCAATTGGACAAGGAGAACTGGACGACATTTTGATTACAATATTTTACCAGGACATACAAACAGATGAATGAAGTATCACTTTTTTGTAGAACTTTTTAGTGAACTTTTAAAGAGAAACGTTGCTTAAAAAAAATGTAAGGAGTTTTTTCCACAACTTCGTTTAACTCGCCCTTGACAAGTACGTCAACGATGTGGCGCCTGCTCCCACATCAACTCTTACTTCAATTAATTTATAACTTTATAAATTAATCTTCAATGTACTACTTTTTTTTGTGTCGAGTAATGCTGGCCGTAACTCGTTCACACACAGCAGGCGTGCCTGAGACACGTGGCACCTGCTTTTTGTGTGAGCCGATTCCACAGTTTAGGGACCGCGGCGATTTTCAGGTAACAAAAATATATAATTAATATGCCGCCCATGAAAAATTTGTAATTGCTTGAAAGGAGGCAATTAATTGATGCCGATTTTAATACAGGCATGTATTGTCACTAGATCTGAGTACATGCGCAAAATTTGGAATTGATCGGACAACAGGAAGTAGACTAACTTTTGATTACAAGATTTGACCACGACAAACACAAGTCAAGTTAAATAAAACCATTGAAAAAGAGAGGAAAGCTGCTGAGGCAGACTGTTTTCAAGGTTTGAAATGGGTTTAGCCCAAGGGTCATAAACAAAGTGGGCGGGGCTCATGATGTTAATGTGAGAAATTAGCATGTTAATTTAAGATCGGAGGGCGACCTCCATGACGAGCGTGCGGAGGTGGCTATGTTAACGTGAGAGAAATTAACATATTTTTGGGTTTTTCGGTAAAGTCTCGTAGATAGTTTAAAAGAAAATAACAAAAAAACTATCACGTTTCGATCGCAACACAAACAATCGTCATCAGGAGAAAAAAATGACGATTGCTTGTGTTGCGATCAAAACGTAGTTTTTCGTTATTATTTATTTTCTTTAAACCTATCTTCATGACTTTACCGAAAGACCCAAGAATATGAATTCCTGCAGTCACGAAAGCTTTAAGTCAAGAAATTAGCATGTTAATGTCAGATCCGAGGACGGCTTCCATGACGAGCGCACGGAGGTGGCTGTGTTAATGTGAGAGCAATTAGCATGTAATGTAAGATCTGGGTTAATGTGTTCATGGCATTAGCGGTTATATTCTAAAGACCCACCTAGAATGTCGAGCAATGCACATTTTGATCACAGTCCAAATCAGCAGAGTCATGTGGCGAGTAAAAAATGTGGGTATTCTCTCACCTCTTGAAAGACGTGGAAGAGAAGACCAAGTATCCTCCAGCGCTCTCCCTTTCTTTCGTGGAGTTCCAACCGTGAGGGAGCGATACATTTCCACATGATGATAGCTAAGTGGGCCTTGCATGGTAAAATAAAAGTAGTTTATAGTTTTAATTCCGAGGCTGTAAATTTTCAATTTAACCAGTGAGCCGGGGGGAAATTACCACGTGGAGACTTAGGCCGCCGCGCCAATCGTTCTTTCGCACAATGCCAATCGGTGCTTGCGTGGCTGACATTCTACCTGGAATTTATTGCCAGTTATTTGCTCTCCAAAGCAGAAATCGGTTCTGAAAGCGGTTACCAGTTTGGCGGTTGTTGTGGAACAGCCCCGTGGATGCCTGTGAGAGCGCGTACTAACTGCTGTGACAACCTCTTCTTGGTTCTTTCGGTAAAGTCACGTAGAAGGGAAATAATAAAATAATAAAAATAAAACATAATAAAATAATTCTCACGACGTTTAAGCCACAACACAAGCAGCCGTCCTCAGGTGAAGAATAGGTCTGTCGAGAAGACGGCGTCTGAATGAAACACCCCAGGCTTGGAGCGTATATTTAAGCTGGGTTGGAGGGGGAAGAGCGCCTTGACAAAATAATTTGCATATCAAGAGGAATTTAGCATATTTATGGGAAATGCAGATATGGGATTAGTTCTACTTGTGAAATGCGTAGGAAGTGGGCGGGGGGTGTCAAAGTCATTATGCCCGTGCATTATGCAGGATTAGCAGCATCAAAGGGAGGGGATAGGGGTAGCATTAATAAAGGGAAGGAATGTTAATAGAATGTGGCTGCAGTAACTAAACCACCACGTAAAAAACTAAAGTATAAACTACATAGTATCTAAATATACTATGTCGCAAAAAAAAGAATATGCTTCCAGCTAAACTTTTTTCCTCTTACATCACACGGGTCTACCCCATACTATATACTGCCATAGACAAACCCAACATTAAATTATATACTGTATTACTATACACCACCCTATACCTTCGACTATACATTGTAATATTACACTATGTATTATTCTACCCACCCTACTGTATATCACACTGCTGTATATTCACTATACAATTACGATACTATATATTACTTATACATTGTATTAAACATTACAATTTTATACTATTATCATACAATCTGCTATACACTATACCGTTGACTGTCGCGTGAAAGAAACTAAGAGGAAGCAACGAAATATGGCAATGGGAGAGTGGTGGTTGGAAACTTGCAGCGGGGCAAAGAATCCATTCCTTGCGGAGAATACAAGATATATAGTCAATGCCAGTGAGTGGACTGCGGTCTGAAAGTCACTGTAAACGTGAACACAATCAGTTAAGATCCGAAATGGTTTATTACGTCCTTCCAATGATTGCTGAGCCAGAATCCATCTTCTCGGTTGAAATTGTCTCTGTGTTTGTATATGTGGATCGCCTCATGAACGAATCTCTCATGGTAGCCATATGGCTTGCAGAGAACCTTTGTCTTGGAGAAGTCAATGTCATGTGAGCCCACTGAATTGTAACAGTGATCTGCCACGGCTGAGGTGTTTGTCCTACCATGTTTCAGGTCTGCTTTATGTTCACGGATGCGGTCCGAGACATGTCGTTTGGTTTCTCCAATGTAACTGCTACCACAGAGGAGAGGACAGCTGCTTGTGTTGTAGCCGAAACGTCGTGAGAATTATTTTATTATGTTTTATTTTTATTATTTTATTATTTCCTGTCTACGTGACTTTACCGTAACAACCAAGAAAGCTTTAAATCTAAATGCTGTGACAACGTTCACAAATGCATTCTTCGTGTGGCTCACATTGATGTAGAGCAACGGTTCTGAATTTACCTTGAGGTGGTTGAGCCAGATGATTTATTGTGTTAGGAGTGGTTGAGGAATATCCCTGTGATGGATGCCTCCTTTGTTTTTGTGTGATGAGGCATTGAGTCTGTTATTTGGACATATTGGCGGTGCACCATAACACACTGGTCCTCGTAAAATAGTCTAAAATTTCAATTTGAATCAGTAGATCTGTTTGTCAGTTTTTATTTGACCCTATCGCCAGGTTTGACACGATTCAAAGGTTTAATCAGTCTCCTGAGACTTGCTAAAAAATGTCGGTATTGACCATTGATTTGTGTCCCGTTGAAGTTTCGGGCACAAGCCAAATCTGCCTTTGGAACACAGCAGCCAATCGTCATCAACTTGGGTGCTGCTCTACGGCAATAGACTATAAAGCTTTGTGGTCAGCCACTCATAAACATTCTGACCGCTTTGACACAAGAACTAATTTTGACGCACCATCATCACCCCGCAGGATTTTATGACCGGGGTTGCGAATCGTGGAAAAATAAATAATGATTGCAAAAAATGTGCTTTTTTAAATGTACACCGTGCACCTCCGGTGTACCGCCAATACGTGGAAATGTTCAGTGGTCTCTTTTAGGTGACCGCAGTAGCACAGTGGGGAGTTTAATTCCCCATTTATGTATCATCTGCTGCTGCTGCTATCATTAGTACGGGTGCGGTTCAGGGGCTGTGAATTATGAGCTTAATGGCAAGAAGATCATGGGAAGAAACAGGAAACCCGAATGAAAGCCATAAAACAGTAATGGGGGGGCGGGAGCCCATACAAATTCCATTCAAGCACACACTCACACTCGACAATAGGGTGGGACAGCATACAGCGAATTTTCTCACTCAAACTCACACTAGCAGAACCAAGGGTGCAGCATACAAACTGCACACGGAACAAGTCTGGATTCGAACCGAGATGCTTCTTGCAGTGAGGCACAGGTATTATACTGCTGTGTTACTACTGCGTTACTCCTGCTGCAGCCCACTAACTTGGCTGTTGTGTTCCCGCAGCTGCATTCGGAGAGGGAGAGAGACAGCGGCGTCATGGAGGAAAGGGACGAAAGTGTTCAGGAGACGGTGAGAAAAGCCAGCGTGTGGGAGTGTAAGAGTGTGGAAGGGAGTGTGAGAGTATGGATGATAGTGTGAGAGTATTGATGGGAGTGTGAGAGTGTGGATAGGAGTGTGGGTGAATGAGAGTGTGAATGGGAGTGGGGATGGGAGTGTGAGTGTTGATGGGAGTATGAGGGTGTGAATGAATGAGAATGTTGGACGTGGTGGATTTTGACCTTGGCAACCTCTTGCCCCCATCTCTCAGCTGGTGAGTGGCCTGGGTTCAGGGCAAGCATTGCTGGGCCTCGACTGGCATCTTGGGGGATTGCTCCTCTATAACACAAAGTACACACGTGACGGTGCGTGGACTCACACCACACACACACGCTACACGCGTGACAGTGCGTGGACTCGCACCACACTCATACTACATTCATGACGGTGCGTGGGTTCGTACCACACACACGCTACATGCGTGACGGGTAGTGGGTTTTCACACTACACATACTCGCTACATGTGTGACGGTGCGTGGGCTCGCAAACAGTAGTATAGTGGTTATCGCACTGTACTATGAACCCAGCGACCCAAGTTTGATTCCGGCTCACGGCCAACACGACGGACGAATATCTGAACCAGTCCTGGGCCACCTATAGGTTGACTCAGCCTTAAATGAGTACCTCGTGCGGTGTGTAAACATCATCACTGGGGAGACAAAGGTGTTCGGGCGTGATGCTGGCCAACCACCCCCTGCGTGTGCTGTGCCGACCTTCATAGGCGCTGCTACTTACTAACAGCACTTCCTCCAACAGTCCGTTAAGGCTATACGGGGCATCTTTGTCTTGTGTGTGTGTCTGTAGGAGGCGGTGTGACGGGAGGGGGAGACAGTGACGCGATGCTCGTGGAGTGTGAGCGTGACGCCAGTATGAGCTGCCCCGTGATGCGCACCCTCTACAGCGAACTGTACAGCATCTTTTCCTCCCTACAACAGCAGCAGGGTGCCGGCCCTGTCGACAAGAAACAGTACGGCAGCCGCCTCTGGCGGGCACATGCGTACCAGTAGGAGGCATCTGTGTGTATTTCCAGTAGTCGGTACCTGTGTGTGACACCAGTAGTAGCCACGTGTGTGTGTGATACCAGTATGGGCCACGTGTGTGTGTAATACTAGGAGGAGGTACGTGTGTGATGCCAATTGAAGTCACATGTGGGATAGTTATATGAGGCATGTGTGTGATACCAGTAGGTGCCACGTGTGTGTGGTACCAATAAGAACTACGTGTGTGTGATTCTAGCAGTTGCCACGTGTGTGTCATACTAGTGGAGGCACCTGCGTTTGATACCAGTGTAATGACGCCGACACACGTTGTACTTGGAGCCTTTATTTGACACACTGGGCCCCGCTTCTGGCTTGACTCTTGAAGCTCCCCGAACATCCCCTCCTCTTGTGCTCTCCCCTTTTAAACCTTTTGAGCCTCTTCTCACGAAACTTCTCTCACTGTATTACTTTCAGCCAATCCCTGTCCTCCCTCAACGGTTCTCAACCATCCCTCAACGCTCAACCTCCACTTCCCACCTTTTTCAGTTTGAACCTCTCCTTCAATCCCTTCATACCTTCCCTCCCGACCAATCACCATGGAGGCCTCTTTGCACCAAGTGGAGGCCTTGGCCTACTTCCTGGTAAAGTCACGTAGAAGGGAAGTAATAAAATAATAAAAATAAAACATAATAAAATAATTCTCACGACGTTTCGGCCACAACGCAAGCAGCCGTCCTCAGGTGAAGACCAGGTCTGTCGGGGAGACAGCGCTGTCCAGCCTACCAGCTCAAAAGAATTGCAATGCATGGCAATTTTGTTATTCACATCACCAACTCAAATGTGGCCATCCCAACAGGTAGCAGTGAAACAGATACAAGTCTAGGCCGGTTTTGATTCCCATGCGGCATCGTAAGTGCAGCATGGGCATCTGTGGGGACACCACTCGCACTGCTTGTAGGCAACAATCATTCACATCTTTAATTTTTCTGCTGTGATTGGTTTTCCCATCATATAGTGATGTGGTTGTGTGGTGGTTGGGATGTGGTGCTGGTGTGGTTGTATGATGTGTGGTGCCGGTGTGGTTGTGGTTTGGTGCCGGTGTGGTTGTGCTGGTTTGGTTTGTGTGGTACCAGTGTAGTTTTGTGGTTTTGGTGTCATTGTGTGGTGGTGGTATGGTTTTGTGATCCTTGTATGGTGCCGGGGTGGTTGTGTGGTGCTGGTGTGGTTGTGTGGTAATGTACTTCTGGTGTGGTTGTGTGTTTCTGCGGTGGTTGTGTGTGTAGTGGTCATGTGGTGGTCATGTCGTGTGGTTTCTTTGCAGGTTGGTGGAATTTAGCCGCAGCTACCGTTCAGTGATGAGAGCAACCATGGAAGGCTTACAGAAGATGGCAAGTAAGTCTGTCATGGGGGAGTCCTGGTACTTCTCATCAAGATAATGGAACCTAAGTTAAACTTTAGACGAGAGTTGCATCACTATTCCCGACTTTCCCAAGAGAAAAACAAAACCCCAATGCCCTTTACATTGGTGCCAATTATTCTGTTTTAACACGTAGGCTAATGGATAATATTGATTCGTGATAAATATTATCCACTAGCCTTTTGCCCATCCAAGGACGGGTGTATTGCAGTAAATCTGAAACTTGTAAGCGAAAAGCAGACCGCGATGTGGTATTCATTGCACCCCTTTGTGTGCAATTTGTAAAGCCGTGGTGACAGACAATTTCATTTAAAGGTTATAATTCCTTGTTCATCCTGACGTCATTTTTAGTTCTATGTCTCAAAAGCGTTACGGAGATCGCGTGATGTGGGGGTTCTGCCTTTGTAGTGAGGGTTATAAGTTGACGCTGAGGAGGGGGGAGGCGCCTCGCCCCCTCATGTGGAGGGACGTCACCCGCTAATTACTAATGGAGGGGGGGGGGTTGTCCATTTGGAGGACGTCACCTGGTCATGATTATTAATGAGGGGGGCTGTTCGATGTGGAGTGACGTCACCTGCTCATAAATATTAATGAGGGGTGGGTTCATGTGGAGGACGTAACCTGTTCATGATTATTAATGAGGGGGGCGTTTCGACATGGAGTGACATCACGAGCGTTAAGGACAGACATTCCTGGGGGATTATAGTAGGTATAATAAACTCCTTTAAAAGATCTAATCTAGATTTGAAGTTTTTGTGACTGTAGGGATCCATACTCTTGGGTTCTTTTGGTAAAGTCATGTAGGTATAAATTAAAATAAATAAAATCACGACGTTTCGATTGCAACACAAGCAATCATCATCAGATGGGAAAACTACAGCAAGAATTTTTTTTTTCTGAAATGGGAGAGAGAGTTGCCATGGTAAGAGGTTCTATCGGTAAGAGATGAGGAGGAGCAAGGGGGGAGAGGGAGGGTTGGGGGTGTGGGGTAGGGACAGGGCGAGCGCTGCGTGGTGTAGTAGTACCTGTTTTTGACCCCGCTGTGGGGTCCACTTTCTGCCCCGCCTCCCTCCCCTTCTCTCTCCCCCCCTACTGCCGAGGCCGGATATAACCTCGTGCCACGGCAGATCTTTCGCCTACTTCAGCAGTTTATTCTTGCTGTGGTTGTCCCACCTGATGACGATTGCTTGTGTTGCGATCGAAACGTCGTGATCTATTATTTTTCTACCTACGTGACTTTACCGAAAGAACCAAAGTGTTTACTTGTTTTATTGCCAGAAAGGATAAAACATGTTCTTTTGTATAATTTGGATACTGGAAAAAAGGTCCCATAGATATAACTGCTCGACCCAAGCTATACGTATTCTGCTACTGGCATTATCTTAATAATGATAATAATAATAGTTCAAATTATAACGCGCGCAAATTTGCGGACATAATGGCCGCAACTCAGAGGCGCGGAGCCGAGCTCAGAGTCGCTCGAAAGCATGATTATAGAGGTGAGTTTTTAAGTCTCTCTTGCAGGAGGCGATTGAGGTGATGCTGCGAATGTGCAGAGGGATAGCATTCCAGACTGTTGGGGCTGCCACCGAGAAGTGGCGCATAGACATGACCATCATGGATCTTGGTATCAAGAGGAGGTCGTGAGTCGCGCTGCGCAAGCATCTGCCGTGTGCTGCGCTGCAAGTTGTCAATAATGAAGAAAGGTACGGCGGGCAGGCGGATATGAAGGCATTGTGGCAGAGGCAGGCGATCTTGTATGTGAACCTACTGGCGATGGGTAGCCAGTTGAGAGTGCGGAGACAGGCTAGTGCAGACATGGGCAAAGCACGGCCCGTGGGCCGTATACGGCCCGTTGGGCTTTTTAATCCGGCCCGCCGAACTTGTCCAAATATTAAATTAAATTTTACCTTCCTCCTGTAATGCCCCCATTTCCCCAATAGATGGCTCACTTTGACTGGGAGAGAGAGAGAATATTCGTATGAGCAAATCATGTTTCTTTTGAAAGTAAGTTAACAGTAATATTTGGGTACAGTATTGTTTTTGGAAGCATTCACTGTGATATCGTATGAACGTTTACTTAACCGCGTCATCGTATGAATGATGCGAGAAGAGATTAACGGGTTCTTATGTTAGCGATTTACGTACTCGGCGCTTTCGCTCTCTAAATTACGGCTTGAATGAGGGGGAGGGGTATGACTACATCACAAAATTAATAACAAAAGTTATCTACATAACTGTTACGCTTTGTGTAATTCAACAAAACAAACAAAACTTAACTCCGAGTTCTCTCCGAATTTCACGAGTCCGTTCTAGACCCCACAGTTTTTTTACAGAGTTTTAAGCACAGAAAACATAATTAAAGTTAGAAAAATCATTAATTATACAAACTTTTCAATAATTTTCTTCTTCACTTCGATTTAAATTTTCTTTAAAAACTTCTTCTCACCAACATTACCACTCATTACCACTTTCTCCGAAGGCAAGGTTGTAAAAGAATACATGGTACAGACAGCAGACATCTTGTGTCCAGAGATCAAAAGCAAATTTGAAAAAGTCAGTTTATCATGCAGGACTGTGACTCTCCGTGTGGAACTGATTGATAAAAATATAGCCAGTCAATTCAACAAAAAGTCTGATTCCTTTGAATTATATTCACTAGCACTGGATGAAAGTACAGACGTAAAAGACACTGCTCAGCTCTTCATTTTTATCCGAGGCATTGACGACAGTTTTGCGATAACAGAGGAGTTTTTGACCATGGAGTCCCTGAAAGGAACAACACGGGGAGAGGACTTGTATCACCAGGTATCTGTTGTCATCGAAAGAATGACGCTACCTCGGAGTAAACTTGTCAATGTCACAACGGATGGATCGCCAAATTTAACTGGAAAAAATGTTGGGCTGCTGAAAAGAATCCAGGATAAAGTGAAAAAGGAAAACCCTGTCCAGGATCTTATTTTCCTTCACTCTATCATCCATCAGGAATCCCTGTGTAAGTCTGTATTGCAGCTTAATCATGTCGTGAATCCAGTCGTAAAACTTGTGAACTTTATACGAGCAAGGGGACTTCAGCACCGTCAGTTTATTACGTTCCTGGAGGAAACTGATGCGGATCATCAGGACTTCATGTACCACTCTCGTGTCTGCTGGTTAAGTTTGGGGAAAGAGTTACAACGAGTGTGGGAGCTGAAAGAGGACATCATCACATTTTTGGAGTTGATGGGGAAATCTGACGAATTCCCCGAGCTAAACGACAAGAACTGGCTTAGTGACTTTGCGTTTGCTGTGGACATTTTCACACATGAATGAGCTGAATGTGAAACTGCAGGGGAAAGATCAGTTCGTTCACGACATGTACAAACATGTGAAAACCTTCAAATCCAAGCTCACTTTGTTCTCCGGACAAATTGCGAACAAATCTTTCGCTCATTTCTTCACACTTGCCATGCAGGAAGAGGCACCGCGAAACGCAAAAAAACAGCAAATCACTTGAGGACCTGCACGAAGAATTCTGCCGTAGGTTCTCTGATTTAGAAAACATTGAACAGTCACTTCAGCTGGTGTCCTGTCTTCTGTCACAAGACCCTGAAACAGCACCACAGGAGTTGCAGTTGGAACTGATAGATCTTCAGTCTGACTCCGTCCTAAGGGAGAAGTTAAACTGAATGACTTTTATGCTTCACTTAACAGAGCCACGTTTCCAAACCTCCGGAGGACTGCACAGAAGATACTGACTTTGTTTGGCTCGACTTATGTGTGTGGGCAGACAATCAGTGTCATGAAAGCCAACAAAGCCCGTCACAGATCAAAGTTAACGGATCAGTACCTCAGATCTATCCTGAGAATTGCCACAACCAAAATAATTCCATACTTGGATGCACTGGCAAAAATGGGAGATCAACAACACTGTTCCCACTGAAACTGAAAGTGATTCTGTGTTCCTGCAACGAGGTTGGAGCCAAATCTCCGACACACAGCCTGCGTGGCTGCTCTAACCTGTTAATGTAGATAATAAAGAAGTTCAAGTGAGGTAATTGGTTTGGCGCAGGCCTCAGATGTTTTCATGATGTTTGATCAGTCACGTTACGATATGTTTTTGTATTGTTCATGTTCGTGCAATTTGTTAAATTGCCTTGCAAATAAATGCTTTGCTACCTGTTAAAGGCCAAATCCTTTAATGTAATGATTTTTACATGTCATTTATATTAGTCCACACAAACACTCCATCCATCTGTTCCTGGCCCGGCCCCTCTGTCAAATTTTAGAACCCATTGTGGCCCGCGAGTCAAAAAGTTTGCCCACCCCTGGGCTAGGTTGTGTGCAGTGAACCATTGTTGCACGGCGGTGGTACATTCCGAGAGCCTCTCGAATCCAGATGCATTGCTGGAATCGATGGCGGTGAATAGAATAGTGTCATCCGCGTATGAGTGATGCTTAATACCGAAGCTTGCGATGAGCCGGCCGATCGGGGAAATGTAGGCTGTGAAGAGCAGGGGACCTAGTACAGAGCCCTGGGGAACCCCACATAATGCTATTGTTTCAGGCGATGTGGACATGTCCACCCTGACTGAAGATTGCCGGTCAGAAAGGTACGAAACTATCCACTTGAGTGCTGAGCCGCATATACCGAAGTCGGATTTCAGGAGGGAAGTAAGGAGCGAGTGGTTGATGGTGTCGAAGGCTGACAAAATGTCCAGACTTACAAGTGCAACAGTTGAGCCGGAATCAATGATCGTTAAAATGTCATCAAGCACTCTAGTGAGTGCTGTTTCTGTGGAATAGTTTTGATGGTAACCTGACTGGAAGCAGCAGTATTTTGCAGAGGAGGTGATGTGTGGTTTTAGCTGGGCGAGGGCTAGTCGTTCAAGGAGTTCATCTTTTGGCAGTCTGTGGTCTAACACTGGTGAGACAAGGCCAATTATCTTCAAAGACAATGTGTGTATTACCACAGCATGTTTGTTTCTTCATGTTTTGCCACAAGTATGTGTGGCTAATGCAGCCTTGATGCTTTGAAAAAGGTATCTTTTTTTTTTACATCTTAACATTGGCAGTAAGGGTAAAACCTATTGTTATTTTTTTTATTTTGGATACTGGTTAAAAGGTTCCATAGATAAGTACCATTTAATAAATAAAGGTTTTTTGGGTTAGATCGTGGAAGTATAAATGTGTCGTTAACCCGCTACCACCCGACACAGCCAATTAGTAATGTGTGTCACGTAAACAAAACGTGCCAATCAATTCTGGCAAAATCGCCTGATGGTGCTGGATGTTATTACCAGCGAAATGTCGTACTTAAATTGTAAATGTGGATTTACTCTCTAACACACCAGTGGGCTGAAGTAGTAGCTAATTGATCTAACCCAAAAAAAACTCTTATGAATAATGTTGATTGCGAAAGCCTATGTGTCAAATAGATAAGTACCACATTGTGGGTAAGTGGACGTCGGTTATCGTATGGAGAAAGTCCCCGCCGACATAGGAATGTGGCATTTCCACCCAATTCTCATGGGTAAAATGTATCAATTAGATGGGGTGTTGCGCTTGAAACTCAGTCAATCGTCATCACATTGATTCTTCTACTCACCCGGTGAGCTGCCTGCAGCATTAATGATCGGCGTGTTAAACTGCTTGTACAATCAACAAATTAACTTAGAGGGTGTCACTCGTGATTGGGCCGGATCATTACGTGGCCTCCCTCAAAGTCCATTGTGAATCGGTACATTGCCTGCTGAGAAGCTGCTGTGTTAAATGAACGGGATTATTGCACGCCGCTTTGGCTTGGTTAATTTCATCATAGTAAAACCCTTGAATCCGTGTGAAATCATCGGAGTCTAATTCATCCGTGTTCAACTTGTGTTCGCGTGTGTGTTTCTGTGCTGTGTGGTGGTGGCAGTGTCAACTGAGGACCATATTAAGTTGGACTATTGCAAAGAACAGGTAAACTGAGATACACCCTTCTTAGAAATATCACAAATTAATTGTTTTCTGTGGTTGTCTCATGTACAGTAATGCCTCGATGTGTGTATAGTCAATACATGAAGTTTCTGGATAACAAACTTGATTTTAAAAAATATTTATTTTAAACAGAAAGCTAAAAATAATGTAAATAAATACCCTTAAATGTACTCTTTGGTTCTTTCGGTAAAGTCACGTAGATAGAAAAAATAATAATCACGACGTTTCGATCGCAACACAAGCAATCGTCATCGGGTGGGACAACCACAGCAAGGAAAAACTGCTGAAGTAGGCGAGAGATCTGCGGTGGCATGAGGTTATATAGGCCTCGGTATTAGGGGGGGGAGAGAGGAGGTGGGGGGAGAGAGGGGGCGGGGCAGAAAGTGGATCCTGCGTCAGCACTGGAGAGATCGGCTTGCTAGGGGGGGGAGAGAGAAGTTACCCGGGTGCTGCCACGGGGTCCACTTTCTGCCCCCCCCTTCTCTCTACCCCCCCTTCTCTCTCCCCCCCTGCAGCCGATCTCTCTAGTGCTGCCACGGTGGTCCACTTTCTGCCCCGCCCCCTCTCTCCCCCTACCTCCTCTCTCCCCCCCTACCGCCGAGGCCTATATAACCTCGTGCCACGGAAGATCTCTCGCCTACTTCAGCAGTTTTTTCTTGCTGTGGTTGTCCCACCTGATGACTATTGCTTGTGTTGCGATCGAACCGTCGTGATCTATTATTTTTTCTACCTACGTGACTTTACCGAAAGAACCAAAGAGTATGGATTCCTGCAGTCACGAAAACTTCAAACCCTTAAATGTATAATAAATCGATCTCCAGTACGATATATAAGAATAGCACTGATCGTTGCCCATGGTGCATTATGGTTGCACTTTTGGCTCCATTACAGTGCCAGATCAAACTCTTCCTTTGAAGAAGGGCTAGACTTATTAGTACCCTGGCTCTTTCTAAAGTGATGAACAATGCGCTCTCTCTTCATAGCAGAAGTATGGTTAAGAAATGAGGGGGGGATCATTCTTGAAATGTCCACTCACCTGAGACAGCACCACCAGGGTGATGTCACAAACTGGCACGAAGGCAGCAGCTACAAGAAGGTTGTTAAACACTTGGAGGAGAAAGGAGTGTGTTTCAGCAGCTGTAATTGCGACTGAGCAGTCTTCTTTAGGATCCACTCCACTCACCCCACACGGGGAAAGAGCTAGAAACGGTGCTCTAACAATAGTCAGCCTCACTCCTTCCCGACTAGATAACCACGTCCAGAGGGATCACCATTACTGCGGTTGAAACAAAAATAAAAGTCGGATACAATTTTGGACCTGGACAACCCTAAAAGTGAACGCCTAGAACGCCGCACCGTAATCGTTACCCAGGAATTCTGACGACACAACATTGATGTGGCTGTCCTTGGTGAGACTTGGTGAGCAGGGGAGGGCCAGCTCAAGGAACAAGGAGAAGGCTTCTCCCTCTTCTCAAAAGGCAGCCAGGAAGATCAATGGCGGCTGCACGGAGTTGGTTTTGCCATCAAGAACGAACTAATCAATCAGCTATAACGAGTTACCTATCGGAATCAGAGAGCACCTCGTGACTCTTCGTCTCGAACTGGTAGGGAGCCAATATGCCACTGTCATCAGCGCATATGCCACAACTCTTGACTTATGGTGAAACAAAGTATGCCAACCTTGATCAGGTCCTTTCTACCATTCCTGCGGGAGACAAACTTATTCTTCTCTGTGATTTTGATGCCAGAGTCGGGAGGGACTTAAGCTTCTGGAATGGAACCATCGGCAAGGAAGGAGTGGGAAAAGTCAATTCCAATGGCATTCTCCTCTTGACGACATGCACAGAACATGGATTTATCATCACCAACACCCTGTATTGCCAGAAATACAAATACAAAACATCATGGCAATATCCACGATCTAAGCATTGGCACTTTTTGCCACACCACGCAATCAGAAACGAACTTGGAATATACCTCTCCCTTGATGAAGTTATGAAAGCCATCAAGCAGATGAAGAACAATTACAACTGGAACTGATGGAATCCCTGCTGAAATAAAAAAAAAAGGGGAGAGGAGCTGACAACATGGTTCCAAGTGCTCATCTTGAAGATTTGGAAATAATAGGAAATCCTAAACGACCTCAGGGATGCCATGATTGTGAAAATCTTTAATACATTAGATAAATCCGATTGTGGAAATTACAGTGGCATCATCTTGCTGTCCACTGCAGGAAAGATCATTGCAAGAACTCTGCAGAACCATCTTTTGCCACTTGCTAATGAACTCTTCCCAGAATCCCAATGTGGGTTCAGGCCATCCAGAGGCAAACTGACATGATCTTCACTGCCGAAAAAATGTCAGTAACAACACAAACCACTCTACATGGCCTTCTTTGACCTATGGAAAAGCCTTAGATTCTGTTTACCGAGAAGCACTGTGGAGTAGCCTTCCAAGGTATGGATGTCAACCAAATGTGTCACAATTTTTCACCTACTGCATGGTGGTATGCAAGCAGTGATTTTTAGTAATGGATCCATCTCAGACCACTTTGAAGTTAAGACTGGAGTCAAACAAGGCTGTCATCGCCCTAACACTCTTCTCAGTATTCCTTGCCATGATGCTACAGATAACTATTGGCAAGCTTCGAGCAGGGGTGGAGCTAAACTACCGAATGGAAGGTAAGCTGTTCAACATCAACCGACTTCGATGTAAAACTAAGACCATCCCAACAGCAGTTGTAGAGTTCCATTATATTGTGCGATGCTGTAGTGTGTCCACTCAAGCGGATCTTCAGGCAATCGTCAAAACTTTTACTCAGGCGAATGAGAAAATGGGACTGACGCTTAATATTGCAACGACTAAGGTCCTCCATCAACCAGTTCTCAATGAGCAGTCCCCAGCTCTGACTATACATCCACGGTGAGACTGGAAAATATTGAGCATTTGCCATACCTCTGAAGCCTTCTTTCACAGAATGCTGATGTCGATAAATAAATCCAAAATCGCCTGAAATGTGCAAGTTCAGCTTTTGGTCGGCTGAGGAAAAGGGTGTTTGAGGAACGTGACATCAGGTCCAAAACTAAGATCATTATTTATCAAGCAAACATAATATCTACCTTATTTTACGGACCTTAGACATGGATAACATACAGTACCATCAACGCCGCCTGCGGAAGATCCTTAAAATCAGGTGGGAAGACCGACACACTAATATCAGCATCCTCTCGCAAACAAACACCTCGAGCATTGAGGCCATGATCATTCGACATCAGCTTCGCTGGGCCGGCCATGTCCGTATGCCCAACTCCATACTCCCGAAGCAAGTCTTCTACTCCCCAGCTTAGGGTGTGCCTTCAAGAGGAGGGCTGAGAAAGTGCTTCAAGGATGTCCTTAAGGCCAACATAAAAAAGTGCACCATTGACACCAACTCATGGGAGACTCTTGCCCAGGATCACCTCAGATGGAGACAGAGTCTGTTTCAAGGATCCAAATATTTTGAAACACAACGGCGGACTCAGAAAGAGGAAAAGCGTGAATGGCGGAATCAGCAACACTGCAGCCCGATTTACTAATCCAGCTCCACCCACTCTTTCTGGCCACATGTGCTCGAGCTGCAGCAGAATCTGTCAATCCCAGATCGGTCTCTTTAGCCATCTTCGTACCCACAGATAATCCAACTTTTCTAGGGAAGACAATCCTCGATTGTGAGGGATAGCCTATCATGATATGAATAAAATTATGCTTCTACACTATGTTTTTTTTATTTATGTCAATTTATATTTTTTAATACTGTGCAGTGTAAATTTAATATCAAGCTATGAAGTGTGTATAGTGTCAAATGGTAACTTATGAAGTCTGGGAACGAATCGTCATAATGCTAATGTAATAAGTGAATCAATCCACAAAGTTTAAATACACAAAATAAGCTCCAGGAACGCCTCTACTTCATATATCGAGGTATTATTGTATATATATTTTTTACAGAGCTGCTCAGTATGGACCCATCGGCCCAAAAGACCAAGCGGGCGAGTTGTAATAGATAAGTGTAACACCATAATAGAGATCTTGGAGTTAGATCGCGTAAATATAAATGTGCCGTCAAGCCTGCCACCACCCGACATGGCCAATTAGTAAGGTTTGTCACGTGAAGAAAACGTGACAATTTATTACGAGTTCAGCACACCGGTGAGCTGGAGAGTAAACCCACAATCCTTTGAAGGCTGGCACGGCACACGGAAGGGTGGGTTGCCAGCAACAAGCACGGCCACGTTTGTCTCCTGAGTGGTGATGTTTACACTTCGCGCCAGGTACTAATTTGAGGCAGAATCGACCTAGCGGAGTCCCAGGACCGGTTCAGATGGTCGTCACTGGTGTTGGCCATGAGCGGGAATCGAACTCGGGTTCGTAGCTGTCGCACATATCCACACTCACACATTGAGATGTTTGATGTCAGGGGTAACCGTCAGGACGATGCCCCTGTGTCTCTCCTTCTCCTAGGTGCAGGCACTGCTGGACTTGGAGCTGATCTGGAATCTGTGCGAGGTTCTTTTTGTCGAAGCAGCTCAAGGTGGGTGACCGTTTACCCCTCACGTCTCTATGGAAAAGTTATTAACACTGAGGTCCCTGATAATCCTAATGTTGAAGTCCCCACGTTGATTTGTGTAACCAGGCGAGAACTATAAAGGCCAGGATAGCTTTAATTTGCAAGTGTGACCTGGGTCACCACAATTCCAATAACATTGACAAAGCAAAGTTCAACAATTAAGCATTTCGAAATTGGAGCAAAAAAACAGCCAAACAGAAATCAGAGCAAGACAACCAAGTAGAAATCAGAGTAAACTTTACTGCGGAACAGAAGTAATTGAAACAGTTGCCAAACATAATCAAGATTAACAATGTAAATGTCGTTTAACAAAAGTTGGTGTGAACTAACTATTCTTGAAAACGATTCATCGCTAAAATGAAGTTCCAGATACATCACAGTAGTTGTGATTATTGTGCTCTGTTTGTGAACAGGCAGGAAAATGTGTCAGATGTGTTGGAAATGATGAAAAACATAAGAATAGGTTTTATCCTTTCTGGCAATAAATCAGGAGGTGTTAAGATGTTCAAACACCAAATAGGTAACTTTTGCAAGGCTCAAGTCTACAATAAGCACACATACTTGTGGCAAAACATGCAAATAAACATTCTGTGATAATATATGCATTGGTTTGTTGTGGCCTGACAAAAATGTCCCGTAGATATAACTGTTCGACCCAAGCTATAAGTGTTCTGGTACTTGTGTTGTCTTTGTACTGTTGTTTTCCTTTTGGCAATCTCTGGTCTAACACTGGTGGGATAAGGCCAGGAGGAAGGCTGTCTCTGGTGTAATCCCATCAGGTCCCTTCTGATAAGTAGGATGGGGATGGTTTAGTTTTATTTGTATGTGTTTTGGCGATTTGTTTATCTTTCTTGTTCTTTGTACTATTATCATGTTTTTGTATTTGTGGTGACTTGTAGCGTTACTACCGTGTGGGCCTACACGCACACACGCGTGATGTCACTACGCGGGGGAGTGTCACTACCACGCGGGTCCACACACACACACAAATGACATCATCACGTCTGGATGCGGGAATGACGTCACGGCCAGTTCGGGGTGCCTGGAGGCCGTGGGTCAGTACCGCGGGGGTTGTGTGAAGCCGTGGCACTCTGGATGAACCCGGCTGGACACGTGACCGAATCAAGATGGGGGCCGGGGGCACCTTGGGGGCCACATGGACAGGAGAAAAACCTCGAGAGTTCTCGAAGGTGGGGGTGGCCGGGGTGTGGCCCGGACACGCCGAGGCGCATATAAGCGGCTTTCGCACCGGGTTCGAGGCTGCTCGGGTCCGGGATGAAGACGCCTCGTGAAGAATAAGAGTCAAGCCTCAAGTCAGCGTGGCCAACCGGTAGCCCTCCTGGCTTGGCCACGCTATCCGTATCAGAGTGTCACTGTTAGCAAGTGACAGTGTGTGTTAGCGAGGATAGGTCGGTGGTCACCACCCTATGTTAGAGTTACCCGTTGTGTTAACAATAAATAGTGTTGCCTCCAAAGTTCAGTGTGTGCGCCTCTATCGAACCATTACATATTGTTGTGATAACATTTGACTCACCCCTTACAGGACATTTGTGAACAAAAAGAGCTTCATAGCTTTTCGAATTACTTCAGTGTAAATAAATGTTCTGATTCTGATAATTCCTTGTAAATCGCGTCTCAAAACGCCGCTTCGGGATTTGTAATGCTGTGTGCAGTTTTATGCATGGAGGTGCAGGAAACCACAGCCAAGTGGCGAGGACAACTGCTCTGGGCTTTACCTGCTAAAATAAAATAGTTTAGTTTCCTTTATTGCCCAAGCTATGTCCTACATTTGGATGTTTGGCCAACTCTATTAACAGATGTTTAAATATGTGGGAGGAAAACCAGAGTACCTGGAGAAACCCCAAGCAAGCGTACAGATGGATGAAAATGAACATTTGAGAACAAATGGGAATGATCCCACTTGCTGTACTGTCATCGTACCCTGGCGAACCGGGAGACAGCGGACTTTGATGTCTGCAGGAGGGTTAAGGCCTGGAATTTCACGAGCGTCTGTGGTGTGCTGCATTGTAGCTGGCCTCCTGGTGCCCCTGCTGCTGGACTGGGTGCATCTGCACGGAAGCCACGTGGAGACACAGGCGCAGCTCGTGCTGAGCAGCAGCAGCCCAGGACAGCACCCTCAGTACTGGGACACGGTGAGCACGCCCCTGGCAGCACGCTCAGTACTGGGACATGGTGAGCACTGCCTGGCAGTACGCTCAGTACTGGCACATGGTGAACACGCCTCTGGCAGCACACTCAGTACTAGGACATGGTGAGCACGCCCCTGGCAGCACGCTCAGTACTGGGACATGGTGAGCACTGCCTGGCAGTACGCTCAGTACTGGGACACGGTGAACACGCCCTTGGCAGCACACTCAGTACTGGGACATGGTGAACACGCCCTGGCAGCACGCTCAGTACTAGGACATGGTGAGCACGCCTCTGGCAGCACGCTCAGTACTGGCACACGGTGAACACGCCCCTGGCAGCACGCTCAGTACTCGGACATGGTGAGTACACTGCTGGCAGCACACTCAGTACTGGGACATGGTGAGTACACTCCTGGCAGCATGCTCACTACGAGGACACGGTGAGCACGCCCTTGGCAGCACGCTCACTACTAGGACACGGTGAACACGCCCTTGGCAGCACGCTCGGTACTGGCACATGGTGAAAACGCCCCTGGCAGCACGCTCAGGACTAGGACACGGTGAGTACACTCCTGGAAGCTCAACAACACTGGTAGGAGCCTGCTTGACTTATTTGCAGCCCATGGGCTTTTAATCACTAATACACTCTTCCGGCATCGGCGCATCCACGTGACATGGATGCGCAATGGGTCTTGGGAAGAATATCTGCTGAACTAGAGAGTCATGCGACAGCGGATGCTGTGTACCTTTATAGATACTCGTTAACAGCACTTGCCCCAATAGTCTGTTTAAGGCTACGTGGGGGACCCTTGTCTAACCCTGTTGTTGATGCCGGGTGCAGGTGCTGGGCTTTGTGCTTCAGGGCCGCATAGGAGAGGCGCGACAACTGCTATCCCACACAGCCTCCTCTGTGCCCCCCGGCTCTCGGAGTCTGATTAAGCACATGGACACGTTGCTCAAACGGATGCCCTTCTATACGGTGCGTACACACACACTCGTACACACTGTGTGCATGATTTTATCTCCCTTGCCTGGTATACAAGAGGTCGTGGGTTCGATCCTGACCTTGATGCCCGCTATATATTTGGAGTTTGCGTGTCTCTCTCTCCCTCTGGTCATGTGGATTTTTCTCTGGGTCCTCCGGTTTTTCCCTCCACATTAATATAATCAACGTGCGTTTAAGAATATTTGACTGTTAAAAATGACCACATGATGATAAGCCACTTCGTTGAGCTATCATTTGTGGCCAGGTTGCCTCTGATAAAGAGCGATATAGCTCAGTGGGCCTTATCCTGGTAAAATAAATAAAAAATGTTTAGTTTACAAGACAAAGACAAAGGAGCCCCCTTATAGCCTCAACACCGGTGTGCTGAACTCGTAATGAATTGGCATGTTTTGTTTACGTGACAAACCTTACTTATTGGCGGTGTTGGGTGGTGGTGGGTTTAACGACACCTTGATATTTACGCGATCTAACCCAAAAATTTTCTCTTATAGAATGTATTAGCGGCGGTGTTGGTGGCGGTGGGTAGGAATGTGTGGTGGGGGTGCGTGGGAATGTGTGGTGGTGCGTGACCAGGCCTCGCAGTCCCTGGCCGAGTTCGACTTGAGGTGGAGACACTGGCAGGAGGAATGCCAGAGTGTGCTTCGGGAGGGAGCCTTTGCTTCTCACCAGCACCTCGAGCTCCTGTGCAAGGTGAGAGGGGAAATTCTCTCCGCTGGTTTTCACCCGAGGTCACCGTCTCAATGCGTCACCCCTGGGTGTGATGGCGATACAGCAGCTGGATTAATTTCCATTGGAACAGGAATTGAGCGATGCCCGCCTCGCCGCTGTGGCGAAATGTTAACTACCTCGGCTGGTATACAGGAGGTCGTCGGTACGATCCCGACCCTGATGCATGTATATTCTGGAGTTTGCGTGTTTTCCCCGTGGTCGTGTGGATTTTTCGCCAGGTCATGTTTTTTTCCTCCACATTTATAAACATACGTTTCGAGTATTTGGCTGCTATAAGTTTCCACATGATAAGCAACTCTTTGCGCTATCATTTGTGACCAGGCTGTTTCTGAAAAAGAGCTATATACCAGGTAAAAAAAAATAAAGTTTAGTTTAAAATTGTTTAATAATTAGGTGATTGAATGGGATTTGTCCAGACATCCCAATATAGGACCGCACAGATTGGGAAATTGGTGGCATTGGTGCTGGCTTCCTTCACCACTTTACTGTTGCATCCTGCGCCTCTGACATCTAAGGAAACTGCACATATACTAGTTTCTAACTAACTTGAAGAAAATCTTACTACCAATCGCACCTTTCAAGTAAATGAGCAGACAATAAAATTGGCTTTCCTCCCACGCCTGTCGCACAATACCTCGCTGATCTCGTCAAGGAGCATAAACGATCATCACGCAAACTCCATTCGTCCTCGCAACAGTGGCTTTTGGCTTGCCATCGAACAAAGACGGTCACCGCATTGCCCTCTTTCAGATGCGCTTCAGTGGCCGTCTGGATCGCTCTTCTTTCTGTTATTCGAAAGCCGCTAGAGCTATGCACTTTTAAATCATCAATATTGAAAATTTCTTTTTTATAACTTATTTTTGTGCTTAGTTTGTTGTCCTTCCCCCTCACCTCCGATTAGACGTTTGGCTATGTACGGTGTGAAAGAAGTTAAACATACGTACATACACATAAAAACTATGCAGTAGCAGCTCACACGTCCTTTGGACGTGACCGTCAGTCCGTCCTTCCAGACGTGACGTCCTGCCAAGCCAGCTGGCCAGCAAAACTAAGTTTGAATATACTGGGAATGATAAGTTTCGAACACGACTTCAACTGATGTGATGTTAACTGATCAGCTATGTCCCTTAAGAATTTAGTAAGATACAGGAGATACATTCCAGCACTCCAATTGTCCATATGTAAAGTCTTAATAACTCACAAATTTTATAATTCAATGAGGAACAATAATACTAAATCATAGAGCAAAGTAAGTACAACATATATACAAATTATATATTATATAAAACAATAAAATATCATATGTCATATGTACTTATAGTTTTAATAGATACATAAATATTTGTATGGGGTATATTTGCTCATGTTTACATGGGGGGCGATGTGGCTCGAGAGCGAGTCAAGATGGAGAGAGGCGAGCGGTGGAGTTATACGTGCGGTAATATGGGCGAATGACAACAACAAATAATGCAGCTTTGTACCTCTGCACCGCTTAAAGTAGTCCCTCCGCCACACAAGAGCAAGCGCGCTCAGCACACAAACGCAACTTAGTAGCGAGTGACTTACAAGTGGTAGTAGACGATTTAGTTGATGATGTTAAACTGATGACTTAAACTGATAGTGATGTCCCCTCAGTTTAACACATAGTAGTAGGAGGCTTTCCCTACCAACATGATCCATAAGAGGTTTTCTTTGGGTTAGATCACTGAAATATAAATGTGTTGCTAAAACCTCCACCACCCAACACAGCCAATAAGTAAGGTTTGCCATGTAAACAATAAATGCGAATTAGTTACTATTACAGCACTAACTTGTATGTTAAGAGAGTCAACCCACATTTACAATTCAAATGCCGTGACGTTTCACCGGTAATTACAACAACTAGCATCAGGCGAGAGCCAGAATTTTGAAGAAATCCTCCTCCGGTTTTGGCCAATCAGGTGTGAAGACCAGAGGTGGGGGGTCATTCATGTATTCATATAAATTACAATGGAGTAATAGGGTCACAAGTGTGACGACATCACATTTATCCCCCTCTATTTAAGACCGAAAAAGGAGGATTTTTCCACAGTTCTGGCTGTTGCCTGACGAGGTGCCGGCGGAACGATTCCCTCGTGCGGTTGTGCAGATCCTGGCCGGGGAGGAGGAGGCGCTGATGGAGAGCAGGGGCCTCGTGCGGTGGTACGGCTACATGGTGGCTCGCCTGCTCTACAGCCACCCCACGGCCAAGCCCTCCGAGCTGCAGCACTACGTACAGGTGCGCTTGCTGCAGCACCTCCGTTCATCCTACAAAGACAAAGATTCCCCCCCCGCTCCCCCCCCGTGTATCCTTAACAGACTGTAGGGGCCAATAGCTGTTAGCGGTGGTGGGTGGCCAGCACCAAGCCCGGCCGCTTTTCTCTCCCCAGTGGCAATGTTTACTACACACTGCACCGGTTACTCATTTGAGGTTGAGTCGACCTAGGGGAGGCCCAGGACCGGTTTATATAATCGCTATCACCGGTGGCCATGAGTGGGAATTGAACTCAGGTCACCGGGTTCGTAGCACGGCACATTAACCGCTACAGTACCCCTCGCAAATACAGACACACATAGACACAGATACAAAGACGTACAGAGATGCACAAAGTCACAGACACACACAGATACATACACACACGTAGACATAAACACACAGACACAGAAACACAAACTGAGATATACACACAGATTTAAGGCAAAAGTGAGTGCGTATATTGTAGTGCACATTATAGATGTAGTGGCTATTGTAGTGTGTAGTATAGTTATACAGAAGTGCGCACACACACATTGACCATCCCACGCAGCGCTCCGAGCCTTTCGCCCAATGGCGGTCCAACTCAGAGATGATTTCACGACAATGATGATTATATGACTATTATTGCCTTTGGTTTTTAACCAGGAGAGTCTCTCTGAGTGATGACTCTTTGTTTTGGAGGGAGTCCTGCCAATTGTTCACAGTTGGAGGCGATCTTTGCTATGTAGCTGGGTATTCCATCATTATTCGCAAGGGGATACTGTTGTATATGTTGGTTATCAAAATTTGTTATGTTGTATGCGTGCGTGGGTGAAATTATTATGTTGTATATGTGGGTTATGAACATTCAGTGAAAATAATAATAATTAAATGAAATTTGGCCAAATGTGTAATTATCCGGAAATATGTTAATTTATGTAATTATGCACATTTTAATTATGCCAATTCGAGAGGTAATCGTATTAATTATGCGAGTGGGTGTAATTATGATAATGCAAGTCGTTATGATAACCAGACCCCGCCTCGGTGACGAGGGTGGGTTATCGATCGGAATAAGGCAATTAATCGTATGCAGTTATGCAGGTGTGGTGTAAGTATGCAAGATTAACTTAGATTAACTCGGCATCGTTGTCTAGGTTCGTCTCATTCTCGCTTTAACATTCCCAGAGTGTGTGTTCGTGGTTATATTTTAGGTCCCCGGTTCACCCCGTTATCGCTTTAACATTTACTGAGTATGTATTAGTGTGTTTATTAAGGTCACCAAGTTCAGATCTCAACGCAGAAGCAGATCTTATGCATAGATTTCAGGAAAGAATCACACAACCACTTCTGTATTGATCAATTTATTACTAATTCAACCTTAACTATGATATAGTATGCGAACTCTCAATCCCGGAACGTCAACACGGCATCAATACAGTATCATCAACGATTGTCTGATTTCACTTTGACAACGGCACATGGATCCCGCATAACGCGATGGTTGTTAGTGAGAGAGAGTCGTTAAAATATGCAAATACTATGCTAAGAAAACCTTAACGTTAATGAATGATTATACTCAATATTGTTCACGCAGTACCGCACTCCTTATTGATCATACGCAACCCTTATCACGTTGTTAGCACCTTGGGTCACGGGACAGTTGAATATTCTGTAGAGGATGCGAGTACGTGCGGCGATTATGACTGAAAGATACTTGAAAGATTATACGGCGATAAAAAAACACAATCAAAAACAGTTATTATTCTTAAAGGCACCAATCTCAACAGATACATCGGCAGGTTATCTGACAACAGAACGGCTCGGAGTAAGGGCCTGCGACGGTGCTCCTTTTCCGAAGATCGTTATCTTATACCAAGTTTACTAATTGGGGACCAGATCACCTGATAAGGATCCGGTGGGCCACCACTCCCCACGTGAGCGTGGCTCGGCGGAAGGAGGTGCCAAGAATCAGTTCGTATTGATGGATCTGTTGGGAATTTATGCGATTAAGAGTACAGCCCACTAAATATTAAAGATAAAAATTACGAATACTTTTATAAACGACGGATGGCCATCACTCGGTCTCGTTGTGATGCCTTCCCAGCCACGGATGGCTTATGGGTTCGAGTGTGTTTGAGTGGTAAGAGTTGTCTTGAATAGTCAGTGTTCGGAGTCGATTCTTTATGTCAAACAGACGCCTGGTGGTCGTGTGGTGAGGGGCGGTGCGCGTCATACGTATCAGTCGCTCCCCTGTCACCGTGGTGAACTGGTTCGGATGCCCGTTGATACGCTGTCGCAGTTCGGAACCCGGTCGGTAGGTGGCGCCCACAACTCGCTCGCAGCGTGCAGTGTTGTCGTCGACTAGGGTGTGCACGGAGCCTCGTCGCAAAACCGCGACCCTCACCACTCCGGCGGCAGCAGAGACCTCCGACTCGGCAGAGGTTGACCCACGCAGGCCGAGTTGAGCTGTCAAGCGGGTCTTGCCCGCCTGCAGAGGAGATGGGGAGCCGCTTGAGTCGAGCCCCGAGAGCCGGCTTTGGTAAGCCGATCGAACTCGGCTGAGTCCCAGACGAGCTGAAGATGAGTCGAGCCGACCCGCTGGTCGCAGCTCGCTCCTGAGCCGACCCTCCCGGTCGAGCTCGCTCCTGAGCCGACCCGCTGGTCGCACTCGCTCCTGAGTCGACTCGCTGGTCGCACTCGCTCCTGAGCCGACCCTCCCGGTCGAGCTCGCTCCTGAGCCGACCCGCTGGTCGCACTCGCTCCTGAGTCGACCCGCTGGTCGCACTCCTGAGTCGACCCGCTGGTCGCACTCGCTCCTGAGCCGACCCTCCCGGTCGAGCTCGCTCCTGAGCCGACCCGCTGGTCGCACTAGTTTCCAATGCTCAGGATCCTTTCCTTTATGCCGAAAAATCCCCCTGGATCCCGCCCACAAGGCGGGGCTTCTTTCGATTTTTGCTGTGTCAGGATCTGTCCGTAGGCAGGTGTGTCCATGTGTGTGTCCGTACGTCCGTATGTCCTTGTGTGCATCACCCACTGTATATTCCGTTGTCACACTCCCTCCATAAAACCCACGAGCAAACAATCAGATGTTACAAATTGCCTCGAGGTCGTCTCTCTGTTTGGGTGCAATATTATCTCTTGTCTGGCCTTCTTCATGAACCCAAAACACAGACGTTACAAATCGTCTCATAGGCGTCTTTGTTCGTGTTGCACCACCTGGAGGGAGGGGCAACACTCTCTCCGACCCGGCGCACAAAGAAATGGTTAAGAAGTTTTAAGTTAACATTTGTCCCTTACTATTTCACAGTTATGATTCTGTATGTAACCTAAGGTCTGTCGTTTCCCATCGTGGTGCTTGACTCAAGTGGAGGTGTTTCCCCGAGCGTATACACACTCCTATCCCGCGCTGCGGAGATACAAAGACGGCCGGGATCTCCCTTTCTCTCCGACCCTGGGTTTAACATCGTTTTTTATTATGTATTTATATTCGACCTGGTGGTGATTCATCCCGTTATCCTGGCTTTTCATAAGTTTTACTTTTGTCTTTTCATGCATATGCTTCGGGTCGAGTTGTATAGAAAGTATTAAAGTATGGAAATAACATTTCATATTGACTTAATGATGGTGATGGTTCAGTAGGCGTAACTTGTGACCTGGTTTAATTGGAGTGGGTGTGAATATCAAACTTTAGCCTACCCTGTTGTTAAATTCCGACTTTAACGTTACTTTAATAGCAATACAGAATAATTGAGCTTTTTGTCTTAACTAGGCGAACGCGAACTTCTGGTGACCCCCGCAGCCTTGTTGTTCAGCTGGGTCTGCATCCTTGAGAGATATACAACCCTCTTATTCTCGTCTCACCGTGGCCATCACCTTCTGCTCTGGGAGTGTTATTCTTAATTTCAGGTCCAGGGCCCCCTCACGTTCAGACGTGCAGGGTTGTTTAAATCAGCTCCCTCCCCTGTGCACACAGCCTTGAGCTGACCCACTTAATTTAATTCCCTGGCCTTTTTGGGTTTATCTTTGCTCCCTCAGCTGCAGGAGGACAAGGCGTACTTCTACCTCCCCCCTGTGTGCACGTGTTCCAACTAGCTCGGAATCCCTAACACACAATCAGTGATGATTCCTGGCTTTCTGTGGTTGTGATTTAGACAAAGGCGCCTCTGTTTTCTTCCATTGCCTTTGAGTCGACACTGCCCTATTATTTGCCCATGTGCTGAGGTCATAGAATTCGTTTTGACTTCAGTAATATTAACATTCAGTATTGGATTAGCAAATGGGCAATGGTTCATTGATGTAGCTCGCAGCCTGGTCTCCAATTTGAGCGAGCGCGAGGATCGATAATTTAGCCTACTCTGTTGTTGAATTTCGAATTTTGACGTTACTTTAAAACCATGCAGGATGGTTGGGCTTTTTGCCTTAACTATGTCTGGCTGACACTCCCACTGTCTCTGCCGCCTGCACGGGTGACATGTGCCCGTTCATCAGGCCTTATCTTTCCTTGAAGCAAGGTTGCAATTCTGCCATCCTAGCCCTCCTCCAGTTCATTACTTAACAACACCTGGTGTTTTGCAGTTTGCTGCGCTTTGGTGTGTTTCATTCATTAAAAAAACAAGTAAAAAGATAATATATAAAAATATCATCAAATATTATTAATCTCAATTTTGGAAGAAGGGTTAGTATACAACATTCCGCCCTTTTAAAAATGACCAGTGGTCAAATGGCCACGGGTTATTTTTAAAAAATAATGTATACCCTTCTTCCATCATGAACCATCGATTGTCCTCAAGTTTTGCTGCTATTCCTTACAACGCGCGCGTACGTGTCACAACTTAACATGGTTATATGTGACAAGAGAGAGGAAAAAAGAAAAAGAGACAAAATTCTAAAGGAAGGTAAAACGATAAGGGAGGGAAAAATTATTCTATTGACTACGTGTTATAGGAGATATCGTTAAAAAGATAGTTTCTACGGTTATTCTTGGGTGGCATCATCAGGCC